CAATTGCAGCTCTAAAAGCACCACAAACAATTATTTTGGTAATGTGAATTACATTAAGCATCATGCCATCAGGTTTTTTTCTTACTAGCAATTAGTTGCTATTAAAAATTCATCCAGTAAAGCTTGCAAGTTCAGCTGTCATTTTTGCTCTCTCAATTTCCCCACCTTTGCTAGTTTCTTGCAAGTGTTTGCGTACGAAAACGACATTCAGTAAAAAACCAGTAAAATTAGTACTGGATTTACTGGATAGTGCATACGCGAACAGGGCTTATGCCACTGTTTGCGACTATGGTCTACCATTATTGCTGTTTACATACATATGTCTACATTCGTATGCCATTGTTTCAGTGACACGCTCATGTCATGTAAACTACATATTTGCGTCCACAAAGCCACCCATTAGAAGGGTTCTGAGCGCTCATACATACATACATATGTATTGTATTACATATTATGTGCATAGTTTTTGAATTTAATTATGCAAAAAATTGAATACTCAGTGAAGTGGATGCTTTCATACGTACTTATGTAGTATGTAAGTATGTTGCGCAATATTTCGTTATTTGTCATAAATACATACGATATGCACACATACATGCAATGCACATGCTCATGCATGCATATAATTTATAAATAATAATAATAGTCTAATTTATAAAAATTTGCAGGTCAATATGCGAACTGACATACTTTTTGTATTTTACCCAGTTTGTGCGCTTATTTGTAAGATTTTTTTTTGTTGTTCTTCATAAGTAATAAACATTGAGAGACAGGAGAATGATATAAAGAAAGGTCAAATAATGCTTCTGTATTAGCGCGCAATATCATTTGTTACACCAAAGTCATTAAGATCGGGCGGCAGTAGACAAGACGTCAAATCCTCTGTTCTGGATTACTTTATATAAGTTGATAACCTGTGGTGTAATCAATCTAGACCCCCCGAAGTATGTTTGGTATTGTAATCTCCTGCTACAATAAACTTACTGCCAAACTTTGGGAAAAAGTAATTAAATTGTTTTCCGCGGTATATAGCAGATACACTAAGGCCACCCAAGTGATCATCGATGTGTATTGCAATATTATGAATGACCTCATTACTATTTGATTCTAATTCATAGTGCTTCGTTCTGTTATGAATGAGAATGGCTGTTCCACTTCGGGCTTTCCCTTGTGGATGCTTAGTATCATAGAATTTGTACCCATTAATTTGAAAGTTATTAAATTTCGTAAGGTGGGTTTCAGATACAAGAAAAATGCTCTAGGAAAATTTCCAGTTCGTTTTTATGCTGCCCGTTCGCTTTCCAAAACCGAATTTTTATATTATTCTTGGTTTGGCTAAAATGGCTTGAAGTAATAGATTTTGATTTTTAATTTAAACTAGAACTCCCTTAATGAACATACACACACCCATACAATGTACATGCTCCCATGCATATGATCATGCATGCAAATAATACATAAATAATGGGGCGTATTCTTGTTTTCGTACGAATCGAAAATCATGAAATTTTTCTATCATTGTTTATACAAAAATTTCAAATTTTCTATTCGTACAAAATCCAGAATTTGCCTCAACAAGTCCAAAAAACTATAAGAAATGTAACATGGCATATTAAACTTAAGCTTGACAATAGGCCATTACTCTAAAATTTTTTTTCTAATTTTTACTTCCAGCAAGTTGATGGCTACACTGCGGGCGTAGATTATCCTGCCTACGAATCGGTGCCAAAAGGACTTTCATTCAAATGCCGGAACCGACTTCCTGGCTACTATGCTGATACGGAGACACGTTGTCAGGTACATACGTAAAATATAAAATACTCGCACACACGTAAAATTAAAGGACCGTAGTGGTTATGATCTTTATACTAAAAATCATAGTTTAATCGTTGAAATTGGATTTCTATTTTGCCGATCAAATTTAACCGTTATTTTAGGATAGGTCTCGACCCTATTAAGCTGGCATTTCAGGGTACTATTTTATATATATATAAGGGAACTCGAGCCCCCCCTGCCCCTACTTGGCTACGCCCATGTAACGGTTGTTTGTAATAGGCAAAACGAATCGATAGACAAATGTACACATAAATGATCAGAGTGAAAAAAAATCGATTAAGCGGTGACTGTCTGTCTGTCCGTCCGTCCGCCTGGCCGTCCGTCTGTGTACACGATAACTCGATTACAAATTGAGATATCATAGCGAAACTTAGTACGTGTACTTCTTTCGGGCGATGGACGGATGGTATTGAAAATGAGAAAAATCGGACAATAACCACGCCTACCTCCCAGAAATACGAAAACTGCGCTATTTTAATAACTACTGAAGATTATTCCTTCAAAATTGATATTTGCAATAATTTTTTAGACGAAAAATAAGAATATTATAAATTTTTGGAAAATGGGCGTAGCCACGCCCTTTTATGATTACATGTATATATCTCGGTAACTGGTCCACCAGGTTGGCCTTTATACAACATACCAAATGGCTGAAAATTTTGAAAATCGGACAATAACCAAGCCCACATCCCATATAACGGTAATTTAGAGAAATTCGAAATCATCGATAAGTTAGTAAATACTAAAGCTAATTGTTCAAAATTGATGTTTGCAATAATTCTTTAGCAAAAAATACGTTTATAATATAATTTTGGAAAATCGCGTTGGCATCGCTGACTTATGACCACATATGTGTAACTCGGTAACCGTCTTATAAATTTGTACCAAACTCGGTATGATTATTGTGCTGGTGAAATGCGACTAAAATTACGCCTACTTGTCATATAACGGTAAATTTTAGAAATGCTTGAAACTTCGATATTTCGAGATTTAAGTGCGCTAATTTACTCAAAATTGATACTAACAAAAATCCCTTGAAACAAAGTAGTATTATTAAGGAATTTCGGAAAATCGGCGATGGAATCGAAAATGTTTGAAATATGGGTAACACCACCCCTGCTTACCATGTAGCGGTAGTTTTCGGAAAAGCGGAAAAAACTATATTTAATAATTGCGCTGGGTACTTAATGCTCGGTTCCGTCCGAACTTAGACTTCTTTACTTGTTTTTTTCGATTATTTTTGTATCGCAAGTTTTGATTTTCATTTTTGCGATCATATTATAACCGCTATTTTGAGATTTGATTTTTTTGATCATAAAGATTTAAAACTTTCATAAAAACGCCCTTGTGAGAGAACCGTCCTAGTAGCGTTGGACCAGCAAAAGGCGTTTGATACCGCCTGTCATTTCACGCTACTATTTAGATGACATTGAGACTTCCTATGTTCCACAGGGACTCAAACGGGGGTCGGCGAATTATACGAGTGGTCAACACTCGTCTGTAACCTTTCCGGATCAAACTTCAAAACCAATAATGGGTACCACAGGGGGTGTTCTATGCTCGCTACTGTTTAACTTCAATATCAACTATTCGATACTAGCATCCGAGAATGGGATTAATGACCTCTACTCGAAAGTAAACGGTTACTTCCCTGAACATTATCGCTTTTTCATTATACAGAGTCTAACCACCTGGACGAAAGAGATAAATCTTCAACTAGTTATTTACGTCGATGGCACACAAATTCCGACGGTTAAAAAACCGAAAAATATGCACGCTGTCCTAACTTACATCGACCAACCACTGGACTCGACAGCGTACGGACAAAGTGATCAACGGCATTCACTGGAAGAGTTGGTTACCATCTACCACCACTCTCGACCTTATAATTCTATGATCGAAGCCCAATCTCCTCTTATCGTTCAGAGCATCTACTACCACGCGAGACCCGCGTCTCTCTGACCCATCTACCGTGTGGATATCGTTCCGCCGAAATCGTTCGTTCCATGGGCGTTAGTTGAGCCAATGACTTATGAGCAAACTGACTTAGGCGGGGCTTAGCCAGGCGGCTATAGGGGGTCCTGGACGCTATGGTGGTTTGCTCGAGATTGGTAAGAGAATGTCTGACCTCCCTATCAACCGTTTCAGAGTATTTTCCAATAAGGCACACTTGAAACGCTATCACCGGTTATGGAGCACTGGGGATGGCTTTGCCCTCCTGTGGTTCACTCTTGGACTGTGAGCTTCATGTAAGCTCAGCGAGCGCTGGGTAAAAACTAGTGCATATGCAATGGCAAGATCGTTCTAGCCTAGGGTAATCAAAGGAGCCCTCCATGGTTGCAAAGCTTCAACTGTTGCTGTTGAAAGACTTCGGATATGCCATTGTGCGATTGGTATACACGCAGTAAAATTAATAATCTTAACTGATCCCTCCGGTATCACCTATTAAGAGGATGACGAAGTTGCAGCATTCCTAATTTCAGACCAAATAATGGTCTCCATTCAGTTTTCGTGGTATCACAAAGACTATCTCCTGATTGTGAGTAGATACCACAGTAAAAATGAGTTTGAAATATTTAAGAAGCCTACACCACTGTTAAGGCAGTGTCACACGATTGGTACATTGGGACGACAATTATTTGAACAAAGTTTTTTTTTTATGATTGGAGTAAGGAAAAATATTTCGCCACCTGAGTGGAGGATCGACCTATCTCGGCAGCCCCATCTCAGAGTTACATTGAAAATGTGCTAAGATAAGGCATTTTTGAATCGGCAGCTGAGATAGGACGTTCTTTAACCAAATTCTGAGATAGGACGTTTTTAAATCAAATTCTGAAGTAGGGCGTTCTTGATAAGTTTTCTAAGGTAGGGCGCTTTCGAACTAGTTCCTATTTTTAAAACCTCGCTTAATTTTTCGAGTAGTGTGTTTCGGGACAGAGTTCGCAAAAATTCCTCAGTGAAGAGTAAAACTTCCATCTTGCTCCTCACAACAACTAAATTTAAAAAAGTTAAAAAAGAAAATGAGCTGTTCAACGTAATTTATCTTTCATATAACGAAATTTTTTTTTCCCAGATTTACCTCATGCTCCCGTGCCATTAAAAATAATACTTCTCGTAAAAGAGAATTCCGTCCATTTGCTTGCCTAGCTTTCTTCTTCTTCTTGTTCTTTTTCTTCTTCTTCTTCTTATATGGCGCATAAGCGATTTTGGCCGAGTTGAACAAAGCATGTCCAAGTCCTTCTCCATTTGGTCGTTCCATCACTGTGGGGCCTCCCGCTACCACCAGCGGGTTTAAAGTTGAATACTTTCATAGCTGGAGCGTCAAAGTCCATTCGATCGTCTTAGCCTTAGCTTAGCGTAAGGCCCCTAAATCTTCCGCAAATCTTTCTTTCGGATGTTCTCATTGTCCATGCTTCTGCACCATATGCCAGCCCGTGCGTGAGTTACTTATAGAGTGTGATTCTTGTAACGGGTGATTTTTTTGAGGTTAGGATTTTCATGCATTAGTATTTGACAGATCACGTGGGATTTCAGACATGGTGTCAAAGAGAAAGATGCTCAGTATGCTTTGACATTTCATCATGAATAGACTTACTAACGAGCAACGCTTGCAAATCATTGAATTTTATTACCAAAATCAGTGTTCGGTTCGAAATGTGTTTCGCAAACCCAATTGCTGCGAACGGCGACGAATCGACATTTCACGGTCTTCAGCAACACTCTCAGAAACAGACGCAATATTCTCTTCTGTACGCACTGTACGCATTCGTGTGGTTGGTTTAATGTCCAATAAAGTAAACTGAGTGCGAAACTTGGTCACAATCGCATTAATTGTTTGCTCACTTGGTCGATTATGTAGACCATAAATCGGACGTAAAGCGAACCGAACACTGATTTTGGTAATAAAATTCAATGATTTGCAAGCGTTGCTCGTTAGTAAGTCTATTCATGATGAAATGTCAAAGCATACTGAGCATCTTTCTCTTTGACACCATGTCTGAAATCCCACGTGATCTGTCAAATACTAATGCATGAAAATCCTAACCTCAAAAAAATCACCCGTTACAACGAAAGAGGACTTTACTTCTCAATTACCTATTTAGTCCAAAGTAGTACTTTTTGGCAACAGTGATTCTCCATATGATTTCGATGCTGACATTATCATCGGTGTTTATGCTGGTTCCCAAGTCAACAAAATTCTCTACTTTCTTGAAATTATAACTATCAACAGTGACGTAGGTGCCAAGCGAAGGCGCGAATGCGCTGACTGTTTGGTTGATTGCAGGAGATACTTTGCCTTATCCTCATTCGCTCCGCTTCCTTACCCAAATTAGAAAAGAAAAATTAACTTCGCGGGTTTTACTCACTCTTGTAGTTAATTGTTCCTGAGTGGCTCAATTCCGCAGGCCTTCTAATCTTCTCCAACATCAGATTAAAGAAATCACACGATCTAAAACCCCGTTTGGATCAACCGGCTCGGAGATTTTTTTCCCAATTCTGACAGAGCTGGTGGTATTGCTCAACGTCATTTTACAAAGCTGTACTAATTTCGCGTGCATATCAAATTTAGACAACGCGGCGTATAAACAACTCCTTTTAGTGCCGTCGAAAGCGGCTTTGAAGTCGACAAATAGATGGTGAGTGTTGATCACGTTCTCGCGAGTCATTTCCAAGATTTGGCCCAATAAGTTCATTGACGGCGGGCTTCGGTCGTTCACTTAATACTCTCTATAAGACCTAGATGGATTTACGAGCTCCGTTTTAAGAATATCAGCGACTGTCACTTTTAAAAACTTGCATTAGTTTAATAAATAGAACACAAGAAAATATACTGAGGTTGTTTACACTTGCCTGGTTATCAAGTTATCTGATTCAAAATTATTATTGTGTAGTGTATTTTATTGTTGTAAACCGAAAAATTATTTTTGTTTTACGTGGGAAAAATTATTTTTGTTTTACTTTATAATTTTGGGAATATTTGTTCACATGAAATTCGTGAAAATTTACTTTTAAATTTCTCATCAGATTTTGCAAAAAATTAGGCTTTGTGGTTAGCGTATCACCATTAAATTCAACAAATTTCGAATTTAAAATTTCCAATGTATGCAAAGAACTTGAATTTGTCTTGCGCAGACCGCCCTCCGATAAGCAATTAGCAACATTCATATTATATATATAAGTATAATTTTGATCACTTTCTTCACCCGTTCTGAAACCTAGTTTCGTCAACCCTCTTTTTGAGATTATGCATTAATTTTCAGGTTCATCATATTCGACATCTTTGAGTGGACTGATGAAACCTTCTGCTTAAAGAAAATATTACTGCTCGTGATCAGGTAGCTCGAATTTAATGAAATGTCATAATTTTATTAAAAGTCAATTGGTTAACAACAACAACGAATGTCATTAAATGAAACTACCTTCTTTTCTGTATCATGCATAGTTCAGCTTTCGTCACTCGAAAATTTTACCTCAAAGAGGTGTCATATATTCATTCATATATTTGAGTATATTCGTACATTCCTTCCAACTAAAAAGCATTCTCTTGCATACCCAAAACAAACGCGAAAAATACCTCCCATAGAACCTCATTGAAAATTTTTCGCGATGAGTTTATCGCGATAAGCTGTTGTGAGTGATCGCGAATGGATTACTTGCATCGTTTTTCTCATTTATGAGAGGCCGAGAGGAAATTTCTTTGCTTTTTTCGATCGCGAATGAAAAGCAGCGGAAATTTTTTTTTCGATCGCATCCCGAATGTAAGAGATGATAAATTTGTTTGCATTTTTCACTCGCGATAAAAGAATGCAAAAATAGATTTGGAATATTATCGATCGCGATAAATCTCATAAATGAATGAAAACGAATAATCATAAATGATAATTTCCGAACCCTGGGTCTAATGCTCAATAAGTTAATAATTGTGAATCTAGTTTTCATACTAACAGATACATCATCAATTTTGTTTGGATTGGAGGGGGTCCAATATTGAACAGTAAAATATATTTGTTTTTACCCACAGAAACAACGATATTATCGAAATATACTAGAATTAGATAATACTCATTTCTCTGAAAGTCATGAGACCCATGGGTCCCAAAGTATATTCCGTTTTCATGTTACTTGAAAGACATGGACAAAGACAATATCGAAATTGTAATTTCAGTGTCTGAAATATATCAGAAATAAACGTATCCGATATGGAAAACTGTAATAGTCCTGTGAAATTGTGAAATAATCAGATGACATAATGACACTAAAAATTTTAAAATGAGTTCACTAAAATTTAATTAATGTAAAAATAAAGATTTTGGCAAGTAGTTATCGAATTTAATGTAAATATAAACGTTTTTTAAGAAAAGATATTAATTATTTTTAAAAGGTAAATTTTAATACAACTATTTTATTTATACTCCCAAATTTAGGATATAAAATCCCCTCTACCAAAAAACTTTTTTTTTACAATTGAGCAATTGTCAAAAATCTCCTTTTTAATCAAAAGTTGTTTATTGAATCTACCTTCTTTTTAGTATCATGATACATATATCAGAGATTTCACACACTTTTTCATAAACATAAATTAAAAAAAAAAACAATGTTGAAAGCAAATAATAAATAGAAAATTGCCTTTTTCATCTTCCTTAAAAAATATATTTTCTTTTTTAGATCTGGCATTGGTGTCTGCACTCTGGCCACCAGTACTCTTTTATATGTCCCAATGGCACCGTTTTCAACCAAGCAGTACGCGTTTGTGATTGGTGGACGAATGTTAACTGTCCAGTAGCTGAACAATTGTACAAAAACAACGATGAGCTATACCAAACCACCGAACCGAATCCTCAGCAGTACCTCTGATATAAGGCCAATCATATAAATCAATCCAGCTTATTAAGCCAACAAAATCAAAATTATCAAACCCAACGGCAACGACAGCAACAGCTGCAGTATTCACGACAACAACATCAAAAACTACAAAGACAAAGGACGCCCAAAAAATTTCATGTGGACGATGCCTATTATGATGCTCGCGAAATTAATGGCTTGAGTGAGTTAACCGGATCAGAATTTGCGCGAACACAAACACGGCTTAATAAGCAATCTCAACCACAGCCACAATCCCAATATCAGCAACAGTTACACCAAAACTCATTGCTGACCACTCATAATTTACCAAAAATTAGTTTTAGAGGCAACATCAAATACTCTCAAAATAGTAGTGGAAATAGTAACAATGACAGCAACAATAATAATAGCAACAATAAAAATAACAACTATCAATATAAGAGCAATAACAATAGCAAAAGGAATGAGAATAAGAATAATATAAGCTACGGTATATCAAACCAAAGTGGTGTATCATCAAATGGTCGCAACTTAAACAGCCGAAATAATAGTAATCACAGCAACAGCAATAGCCGCAACAGCAATAATTCGCAGGGCAAGCATAACAAGAATAAAAGTACATCAACCAATGCCAATAATGTGGATAATGATGAACTTAAAGACTACAAGAGTAAAATCAAAAACAAATACAACATCGACTACGACCATTCACTGGATGAGGAATATGAAATAATCGAGGCCATCGAATAAATGCATCTAATCGCTAACTCCAGTGAATGATGAACTTGATGATCTTGCCGACGGTGGCGTTGGTGCTGCTGATGATGAAAGCGATGGGTAGAACTTAAATTTAAGTGCCTCTGATTTTAAGCCTCATGCTCCAATGTCCTCTAATCAGCTTTTTAAATGCATATGTATGTAAACGCATGTGTATGTATCTATCTGAGACGGCGAAATTGATGAGTTATTTTTGTCCAGATATTTGAGCCACGAAATGGTTTTTTTGTTTTCTTTGTGTATTTTTTATTGATGGATTGATTTATTAGCACTAAGTTGTGAACTTTTATACATTTTTTATATGCGATAATTAATTAAATTAAAATTTATGTTTTCTAATGTGATAAGCAACAAATTTAATAATTAAAACTGTGACAGCGTTTTAATCAAAGTTTTATACATATATTCCACATGCATACTTAGAGCTAGTACCTTAAGTATTATTATAGTTACTACGCCGTGATCGAGTGATTTAAGGTGCGCATTAACGCTCGGTAGGTCCAGGTAGGTCCAGAGCTCGATACCTCAAGAAAAACTTTTTCCAATAGCGGTCGCCCTCGGTAGACAATGTCAAACCTCCGAATGTATTTTCCCCCATTGAAACCATTTTGGAATAAAGAAACAGTGTAAATGCACTGTTATTCGATAATCATACCATCGGATAGACAATCTTTAGTTCTCTTTAACATCTTTTTGGATCACGAACTTATTCGCGAAAAACGCAATTTTATAATGACAGTTTAGGTACTACAATTGTTTACAAAAAGTGTATGGTGCACTTGGACTATTATTAACAGAATCCCAAAGAAATTCTTGTAATATTAAAATAACGCTAGAGTACTTCATTATATTGCTGCTTACTTTCACAGGCAGCTTCAAAATGTGAATAATGAAACAGTGTAATATCGACATACATCAATTCGTTTTTCTGAGTATGCAAATAAATAAAATAGTGTACAATGATTTCATATAAAAATGTTCAAAGATAAAATAGTGTATAAGCAGATGCTTTCAGAAAAATGGGAAACATATTTTTTGTGAATTATTAGCTAAGGAATCAATAGAGAGTGTGGTGTACTTAAAATGTAAATATTTTGAATAAGAAGCGCACATATGAAGTTTAAGTTTGGTCGGTTGTATTATAAAAACTTATAACTCGTTTCTCCCAAACTATATTTTTTCATGTTACACTACTTCATTACTCCGGCTACTATATAATTGAATTAAAAATTGTGTTATTAATTTTAAATTGAGCCGGAAATCGTATCACACCCTAGATTTAAAGTAAGCCAACTCAAATTTCAGATTCGGAAATATAACTGCTTGTGGATCGTACAGATTCAGAAATTTCGTCCACCTCTTCGCATATTACGGTTTCGGATGTAGATCATACACTGCACAAATTCTGGGAGATCGAGGAATCCAAACCACCTCTGTCAATGGATTCCGATGATCTTTTGGTAGAACATCATTTTCAGAACAAATATTCTGTTGGTCTTCATTTTAAAGCTTAGTATCCAGCTCTTAAGAAAACGGTCAAGAAAAAATTGCCATTATTTCGCGTGTGTGTCCAAGGAATTTTGAAATTTTTTATACCTCACAGCCTGTTGCCTCACTCTTTCCTCAAGAAATAATGGAACGGGCATATACTTCTGTTGCAAACCTGGGTTGCCTTGTGCTCTTTTTTCACAAAAAACTTAAGAAAACCGTAGTAGAAAGCGTACTAAATTTCTGAAGAACTGCGTACTGCCTTAAGGAAATTTGACTCAAGAAAATTTCTTAGCCATTTCTTGTACGTCATTTTATATGGAGTTTTTGCTTTTCTTAAGAGCTGGATATTAAGCTTAAAGGAAAACCATCGTATTTTTCAGTTTCTAGGTTGTATGCAGTAGAACGACACTTGTTAAAGACACGCCGTTAAGAGATCTGTATATCGTCGTTTAAAGTACAAAACCGCGTATCGTCATTCTGCAAAACCGCGTAACTGACGTTTGCTGCCAAAAATTGGATTTACTCACACAAGCTCTTGGCTCAATCCTTATCCATTCGTCCTGAAATATACTAGCCAGAAATGCGATTGCTTTATAAAAAAGAGAACCATTTTGAAATAGAAGTGTTTTTACTCTCTAGAAAATAATTTATGCAACGTCACATACGCGGTTTTGCATTATCTTCATACGCGGTTTTGCATATTTAAGTAATTACAATCCAGTAGGCTATGTTTGGTCAGAAAGGACAGGTTTCCCAGCCGCACTGACCCTGGGGTTGGGTGGTCGGTCTGAAAGGACGAGTTCCAGAGCCGGCATTGATATATTGCGGATATCCACATATATTATATGGCTCATTAGAAGATCTCTTGCCAGCCGAGTTGGGTGGTTCCTTAACCGTACTGAGTAACTGGTGCTTAGCCCTCTTATGTCATCATGCACGTATTTACATTAAGATCTTTGTGAATATTAGTATTTTTGACGTAGAATACGTCTTACCTTAAGGTATGGGGGCTATGTTNCGACCGCAGTCTTTGAAGTCTTTTCAAAATGGATTTGCACGCTGTGCCCCAAAGCCCAAGTCCATATGCTCAATATGGTTTAATCATCATATTAAAAATCAACATCTTGTTGGTGGCTTAATTTAGATTTGTGTCCTTTAACCCATTGAAGGCTTGCTTGTTTTAGTTTCGCTTGAGAAATTTTGTTTTCTATATGCTTTTTCCAGGTAAGTATTCTATCTAGTGTTATCCCAAGGTATTTGACACTATCTTTTTGTGGTATAGCCTTGCTGTTAATTTTTAGTGGTGGGCAAGATTCTTTCTTCAGAGTAAATGTTGTCTGAACACACTTGCTCTCGTTAACCTTTATCCTCCACGAACCTAGCCATAGCTCTAACTTTTTCAAATATTCTCGCAGTTTGGAAGAAGCCTCTCCTTTCACTTGAGTTGAATTGAAATTTTATGTGTAAGAAGGAGACAGTCCTATGACCAAAATGGGAGAACTGGTGCGTTAAGGTAACAACTGTTCAGCAAGAATTTACAACTGTTTCAAGAAAATGGATAATTGAAAATTAGTAATTGTAACTGCTACGTTGAAGGTCATTAAACATAATATCCATGCCGTGTGTGAATTGAGCAGTTTTCTGAGAATAGACAAATATTTAATCACAAGAAAATGGAAGAAAATATAATTAATATGTATGCATGTGTGTTCATATATATGTATGTATGTATATTTCAATTGATTTGAAATAACCCAGCCAGCAAAATATCCGAAAATGGAAACAATTCCGTATAAAAACCTGATGTTTCATCCGTTTTCGGACGTTTTTCAGATCAGTTCTCCCACTAAAGTGTTCATCCGAAACGTATGTGCAGAAAACTATCGAAAATGGTTGCAAAACGAATGCGCTTTCGGCTGTTTTCCTGAAATTTGTCTGAGTCAATTTTTCGTTGAAAACTATTTTATTATGAACTTCGCAGAAACTTTTTCATAGTTACAGGATACCAAACAAAAAACAAATTTAAGATTTTGAAATTATTTCAATGTGAATAAATAATTTTAATGTATTGCTTCTGACGGAATTCGAACCTGGGACCACCTGAAAGCTAACGAATAATTGCCAGAAGCGATCAGATACAGATAACAGATCAATAAAGCACCAGAGGTAACAAGTGACAGAACACTTTGCAGTATCACCGACGATATCCACAAGCGCAAGAGTCAACATCTGACTGACAAAATAAAATAAAATTGACCACCTCTTAGAGCTTCGCGTCCGCTTATGGGATATTTTTTTCATAACTGGATATTTTTGAGTGTCCGCGTCCGTTTATCGGGAAGTCCATGTATGGGAGAGCATTTTGTATTGAAAAAAAAAAAAAAATAAAAATTTTCATTCCCAAGAATGTGTCTTCTTAAAGAAGATCGCCGCTTATTACAGCGTCCGGCTATGAGAGCTTTCACTTTTATTTTAATTTGTTGTTAGTAGGGTCAAATTATTGTGAAAAAATGTCCTTTATTTCACATAAGTATGGTCGCTATAAGTGATCATATACAGAGACGATTTTTAAAAATAAAAATGTTAAAATTTTATATTGATACAATTACTACTGAAAAAAAGAAATTATTCAATCAAAATTCATTTGTATGAAAAAGTACCGTATAAGGTACGAATGTTCTCACAAAATCTACACTGATATGTAGTTTGATTTTTTTCGGAAGATTATTTTTTTTTTTTGTTGAAAAAGGTATAGTTTTCAGGTCAATTCAGTTATCCCCAAAAAAAATATAATTATCAACTACCTATAACTCCTACTTGGCCAAAAATCTTCTTAACAAATGCATTATAAATTCGTGCAATAAATGGGAACCACTATTTAAGTTTTACAGCATAATTTTAGGCCTAATAACAGTAAAAACAAAGCTTTTGGGTTTTGTTGTGCTATGTGTAAAGATCATACATACATACATATGTAGGTACATATGAACTTGAAAAAGAAACAGGGGATCACTGATCACAGCATAATATATATATATTTTATACTGAGTATATTGGTCAAAGAGCGCGTCCATTATTTGCTCTCATTCTCAACTAAATTTACGTACATAAATATGTATATTATACCAGTGATGGAAAATCACAATTTAAAATTGGGCCGAATTTCTCCGGAAAAATGTGCCTAAATGCAGGTCAATGTGCCAGGTGTAGGGAAGAAAAAGTGCAACACCTTCAACGAAAAAATGTCTCAAAAATCAACGCGAATTAAATGAATTATAAAACTGCATAGCCGAAAGTATGTCTAGTTTAAAAAAAAAAATTACGTATAAACAAAAATCATCGCTCAATCACTAACCCTGAATTACGAATTTTAAAAATATAGAGCATCAGTCACAATGTCCAGCTTGTGCAAACTTACTCGTAACTAGCATTCAGGCATTGTTGCGGATATTGGACAGTTCCATATGCTGTGGTCTAGAAAATGAGAAGGCCTGATTCCTTGTATATTTACATTTTGGAATTCAGGGTAAATTATAATTTAGTAAATTTGTTAATTTTCACTGAGATCATTATTTGTACATAATATAACGCAGTACTTTTTTTATATCGAAGTCAATGTTATTCGTATCACCAGAGCTTACTGCCTTTGGCGCGAAAGCAGTAACGGCTTTTAAAATTGCAGTATCAAGGTGCTCTTTTTTAAATCTTGGCAAAATTCAACTTTAAATTTCAAAGCATTTTTAATTACATTTTCTGCAAAAATTTTTTTAGTAAGAAATATTTCGGCTTCTGTTTATAATATTTATCAGTTTAAGCACATCAATCACGATCAAATTAAAAAAAAAAAATATTTTTAATTGCGGATCCGATAGAAATAGTGCCGAAAATCAATCCGAAAGGGCCGAAAATGGCACAATGCACACTCATTTTCCATCAATCATATGTACATACAATATGCATGCATACAAGTAGATGTATAGTAGTTATGTATGTATGTGCATGCATAAGTATAATAAGTGATATACTAACCAGTGCTCGGGCTACTGAAACTCGACTCAAGACTAACCGCCCAATTCTGTTGATTATTATTATTAAATTATTTGTAAAGAAATTTTATCAAATAAAAGTTACCATCGCATTCTGTG